TGTCTCGTTCTCTCAGTGTCACCCCAACGCTCGGTAACACTCGATTTATCTCAAGTCACTATGGTGGATTATACGATTGTGGTGGGACTTCGAGACCTGCTGCATGAATTCAAGTCTCAGGGACTCTGCTTGACCATCCGAGGATTGCAGGTACGCAATAATATTTTATTGGGGAGATTTATCGATGGAGAGAGTATGAAAATGTGTGAGTGCTGTATGTTTAATCCAACCTATTGTCAGTTTTCAGACATTTATAAATGTCGTATATGTATATAACCTCGATTTTATAGGGCTGAAACCAATGATGAGAGAGTCGAGACACAATAATTCAGATCTTGTATGATGTGAAAAGGCTTTTTATTGTAAATATATATATATATATTCAGTGACATAAGACCGATTTAGGCTTTCAGGATCTTTGTCAGTTTAATGAGAATAAAGATGAGGATTCACTCATGCATGTGTGTTAAATATGAAAAGTTTGAATGTAAAAAAGTTTACAAGTGATAATAAATAAATACTGGTCTAATTGTTACACATCACTATCTGTAGTATTATACTGGGTTGGGGGGCACATAGAAGGCAAAACTGGAAACCTTTTAAATACAGACTGCAGGCAGGAATTTATACCAGGAGGTAGAATATCTGATTTCGTGCAGGAATAAGACATTAGGCTGTCCAGTTAAGGAAAGATGAAATGGTACCCCCTCTCCTTGAGTAACTATGGACGTGCAGTAAGTCAGAGCTAATAAGCCAAAGGCATGTCCAATGGTATTAATGACCTGATGGTTGTGATGGCCCCTATGGCAATGTAAGCCAAGTTGTCAAGAGAGACTGACTTTTATCTTAAACCGCATCTAAACACAAGCCCTGCTTATCACACCTCTCATCTTGTTTTTGTTTTCTAAGCCACCACTTCTTCAGAAACTAATGGCAGCTGATTTAAAAGCTTTTCATCATCTCCAGGGCAAAACAGGTAACTTCAACTTAGATACAGTATGAATTTATCGTTCTTTTTTTAAACCATCAATCGAGGGTAATTTAAGTAGGAATGCGCCCTATTAGAACGCGTGGTGTTCTGTTACAGTGTTGCCATATTTTTGTCATTGTTCAGTAATATTAAGTTGGGCGGAATTCATCTCAAAAGTAAATTCACAACAGAACCCCTCAACCCAAGCAGTTGAGCTGGAGCAAATTCACAACAAAGAGGAGTTAGGCGCTCACTAAATAAACTAAAGGTGGGCAGCAGTGAACCAAGCAGGAATTCCCAATACCTGCTCACCGTAGTAAAACAGAAGAGACAAAAGTGGTAAACCGCGCCCAAACAGTGCAAATAATAATTAAAATATATACATACTGAGAATCCTCTAATTAGGAATGTATGAAACCTTCAAGGCAAAAAAGTTCAGAACAATAATAGTGCAATATGTCAAGTGAAATAAGAGTATATAAAAGCTTATAAAAGACTCACTCACACTTTGCAGAGCTACTCAGAGCTCTGCCGTATAGCGCCTAGACGGTATAATCCCCGTCTCAGGATATCAAGTGATGGTATAATGCGGTATCCAATCCTCCACAGTGGTATATGGAAAGATAAAAATAGAAATAAAATCCAATAGTGTAGTATATCTATTAAAAAGTGTGCAAATAAAGGAAAAGTATCCTACTTACAAATTTCAGAGCAAATATCTTGCTCTGGTATAGACAGCATGTGGTGGTATGATCCCCACCAAAGGATATAAGTCAGGATTCAAGATGTATCAGGAACAACAAATAAAGTAGTAAAAACTATAACTTTATTGTTACAAAATAAAAAATATATAATAAAAGAAGTATCAGATCTCTTACTTAACGCGTTTCGCCCGGTCTGGGGCTTCTTCAGAAGTAATAAGTCCAAAATTCAATGGAGTCCTCTTTATATAAGTGTTCCTGTTTATAGAGAAATGGACAATGTAAACTACATGTCCCATCAACCATTGGGAGATACACTGACGTCACTTCCGGGAGCCGCACACAACATGAATGGAGGGATACTACATATCCCAGCAAGCTACGAGAAGACTTGCTGACGTCACTTCCGGGCGACACACGCGACCCGGAAGTAGGAAGTGAAATTGCATCAGGACTAAATCACATTAATGCATGTTTTGGGTGTGCCCCCAATTGCCCCTTTTTTGGCACGTGTTGGAGCCATGTTACTGGCACGGTGTATGCTTGTGGAGGGTTTTAGTGAAGCGTTCTGCACTTGCAGGGTGTTCTAAAACCGGTCTGGAAAATTGTGCAGATACTCTGCATGCATGCTGTCAAAATCAAAGCCCCACCTCTGGCATCAGCAAGTGCGTTCCCATTCTGATACTAAATGATACAGTAGAATTGCAATAGAGTCTTCCCAAGATGAGTTTTAGATCAGTAACGCCTAACTCCCAACTAGATAATCCCTTATACATATTATGTTCATGGTGAAACCTCCAAGTTGTGAGCTTTCTATATACCAGTACATTGGGGTGCTTTTTCTCCAGATAATTTAAATATATAATATTGTCTTTTTCCAATGTCTTAGCATGCACTATGTGAACTTATTGTATAAAAAGGTAACACTCTACTAATTCTATATATTGATTCCATGAAATATGTCTGTTATAGAAGACCGGTTAAAAGATGAAGACAGCACTGAGCCATTACTTCAAGGTGTTATCGGACCCTCAAAATAGGTCTCCCCACCACCTTCAGCTGGAAAGAGTGAAGAGCTCATGGTAAATCGCATTCACTAGGACATAATAAGCTAAACTGACATTACTTGAATCTGGGAGTGAAGCTGTGCATTCTCAATGTTGATTTAGCAGGTGGATCATAGAAAGGGATAAATGAATGATAGAAAACAAACATTTCATAAACCAACTCTTATTCTGACACATTGATAAGACATCAGAACTCGTAAGAAAATTACATTTAGGTTTGGTTGACAGGCACGCAAATTCTGAATCTGGTTTCATTTCTTTTCGAAGTATGTGTTTCATAGTTCTAATTCTGTCTGCATTCTTTTTTCAGGTTTTTTTGGCATAGAAGTATTGGAGAGCGGGAAAGATTCTCAAAGAATAAATGGGACTGGTCTGATAGTATGAAAACCAAAATCGAGTCATAGACTCACAGCAGTGGCTCCGCTACGGGGAGCACCAGGATCGTGTGAGGAGTCAGATGTTTGGCTGATTGACAAGAGTCTTAAAATAAGACAATGCAAAAACTGTGTGTATTGGAGCACAAAGCTACGACCAAGCAGGTAAATGATGGACAAAGAAGAGCAAACGTCTAACCATGTTCAAATCAATTTCATCAGGTGAATTGTAAAACATATAATTAACGGGAGAACAACCCAAGTATTGATCAAAAAGAATTACTGACTGCCTCTCCGTGTGACAAATGTTTCCATGAAAGGATTTTATACCAGGTTAATAGAAGAGTCACTTTGATAAAGCTTTGGATGATATTTACGTATAAGTAATGGTAGTTTCCTGTTTGACTCTGTATTGAATTCCTGGTAATAATCAAGAGCATTCCGTCCATTTTTCCCCTCTGCCTTTTGTGTTTTTTGTCTTCCTAACTTGATCCAAGTACTGATTTTCTAAATACACAGCTGCACTTTTCATCAACACAATGTGCAATAAATACGTTAATAGTTGTATAAGGATTTGTGTTTATGTTGGACTCTTTTTTTTTTTGCATGTGATCTACTCTGGGTATTCCTGTTCAATCAGATTCTTGTCCTTTGATATCAATTCTAGCCGGCCACCAAGATGCTGGTTGATGACTCCGGGATTGTTGTATGAAATAGAATTGCATAACACATATTCCAGCAATTTGAGCCTATCCTGAGAGGCTCTGGCCCATGTGAGTGGGATCGCTGTGAATTTGTAACACCATAGATGGTGCTATACTATAAGTTACTACAATATTGCACAATATGAGTTTTCTGTTTCATATTTTTTATATTGGGATATACTGTATACTGTGTTAACCCGTAGGGGTAAGTTTGTATTAAATGAAGCGCTCCAATTACACACTAGGGGTGATTTATTGATTTTTACTTATTTTTTTTCACTTCTGTGTGCTTTGCTTTCACATATACTTCTATAGGAAGGAGAGTTCCTATATCTATGTTGTAGCTGCTGACACATCAGTATCTCTTTTGTTCAAAATGTAAAAGCACCTATTCCAGCACATTTACCTACTATTTTGTGTACATAACCCATGAGTGCCTGGCACTGGCCGCCCTGGGTATATTTTTGGGTGCCGTATTTGACACTAAAGTGCTTGTATTAATCTAAGAATATTATTCAGCTTTAAAATGATGCTCAATGTTTCCGCTTGTTAGTAAATTCCCCCCCTTTTAAAGGAACACTATAGTCACCTAAACTACTTTAGCTCATTTAGGAGTTAAATCACTTTGTTTCTGTTTATGCAGCCGTAGCCACACCTCCCCTGGCTGATTGACAGAGCCTGCATAAAAAAAAACAAAAAAACTGGTTTCACTTTCAAACAGATGTAATTTACCTTAAATAATTGTATCTCAATCTCTAAATTGAACTTTAATCACGTACAGGAGGCTCTTGCAGGGTCTATCAAGCTATTAACATAGCAGGGGATAAGAAAATCTTAAAGGACCACTCTAGGCACCCAGACCACTTCAGCTTAATGAAGTGGTCCGGGTGCCAGGTCCTTCTAGGGTTAACCCATTTTTTTTATAAACATAGCAGTTTCAGAGAAACTGCTATGTTTATTAATGGGTTAAGCCTTCCCCCTAATCCTCTGGTGGCTGTCTCATTGACAGCCACTAGAGGCGCTTGCGTGCTTCTCACTGTGATTTTCACAGTGAGAGCACGCAAGCGTCCATAGGAAAGCATTGTAAATGCTTTCCTATGCGACGGGCTGAATGCACACCCAGCTCTTGCCGCGCGTGCGCATTCAGCCCAGGAGGAGGAACGGAGGAGGAGAGAAGGAGGAGAGCTCCCCGCCCAGTGCTGGAAAAAGGTAAGTTTTTACCCTTTTCCCCTTTCCAGAGCCGGGCGGGAGTGGGGGCACCCTCAGGGCACTATAGTGCCAGGAAAACGAGTATGTTTTCCTGGCACTATAATGGTCCTTTAATTAAATAGAACTTGCAATAAAGAAAGCCTAAATGGGGCTCTCTTTACAGGAAGTGTTTATGGAAGGCTGTGCAAGTCACATGCAGGGAGGTATGACTAGGGTTCATAAACAAAGGGATTTAACTCCTAAATGGCAGAGGATTGAGCAGTGAGGCTGCAGGGGCATGATCTATACACCAAAACTGCTTCATTAAGCTAAAGTTGTTCAGGTGACTATAGTGTCCCTTTAAGAAACCCTAGCATTAGGAGTACAAACACTCTGCTCACGCTATAGTGTTCTTCTCCCTTTTTCTAAATTCAGGAATCTCCTAAATGCAATTTAAACAAAATAAAATAGTTTTAATTTTTTTTCCCAACGTCAAATCACCTATTTTTGTTCCTATATTGCGTCTGTGAATACTATGTAATATTGTGTGAACTTTGAGTAAACTGTGTATTGAAGAAAGGGTAAAAAAAAAAAAAAAAGAGCAGCAGGTGTTTGAGAATTTACTAAGAATATCTTTAGCTTAAACAGATGTAGTCTGTGTGTAGAATGATCCTACAGTAAACTGTGGACGTCTCCAATATAATCACAGTTCTCTGACCCCGATGCACTTCGCCGGAAACTATTTCATGTTGTTGAGTGACATATGGGCACAAGTACACTTATATTAATCATTGCAGACTAATTAAAATATATTGTAATTAATCTTGGCTGGGATAAAATCTGAATATGGAATTTAGATTGGGATATATATGAGCTATGTCACTATGAGCAATTCGAAAGCATTTTGTATTCTGAATATATGACGATATTCTGATCGGAAATGCCCTAGTTAAGATCTAATATATGAATTGGATGCTTCAGGTAGCACACATCTGTCTGGTAGGCAACTGTGATCAAGGACCTGCGAGGGAGGGCATACATTTCCCCAACCGGCTTATTTTCACTTACTTATTCTGGTGCCAAGAGAATAGGTGAATTGTTAGTGTAGGACTCAGCAAGAGGTTTGTCTTACTGGGTAGGAGAGCTTACAATTTAATGAACGTTGGAGTGAAACTAAAAACCTCCTGTTATTTAAATGGGCATAGGCAGAAGGCACTGGTAACCTCTACTTAATGTATTTATTTGCTGTTTGCTTTCTACTGATTTTATTAATAATACTCCGTTAATTGAGAAATCACAACGTTTTCATTAAAAAAAGGAGAAATACTTAATGTGCCCGCCCTGGTTTATTTTATTGTTGAACTTGACTGGGTTTAACATGTATTTGCAGTCCAATCAAAATGTGCAAACATATCCTGATCTTGTAAAAGTCTCCTTTGATGTGGTTGAGGGCGTTAAAAGGTCTAAAATGTGGGCATCACTTTCTTTCCTACCAAGGTAGTCCAATCATTCCACTGTTTAAAAAAAAAAAAAAAATAATAATAATAAAAAGTAGTATGGAGTAGTATGTGCCAATGTATAAATCCATAAAATAACCACACGGAATGACAGTGCAAGAATACAGGGAAGGAAGCTGGGAGATTAAAGGCAAAGCTGCGAGTATGGGTAAATAATAGGATCTCTAGCCAACATAACCATATTAGCGGACTGTAGTGGTTATAGTCCTGGCACTGTCCCCTGTTTTAATGTCAGACAGTTTATCAATAGTGTCTTTCCCTATTAATCTTCCACCAGCACTCTCAGCCAATTACTGCCATCCAAGTTGTGCGGATCGACAATAATAATGGAGAGGTGTAAATTCTGCGTTCATCGGTGGCCTAGGAGGAAGTGGTTTCTGAGTGTTGTGGAAAACTTTGTTTTTGTCAAATCACTCCCCAACGATGTGATAAAAACATGTGGGGCAGAACCCAGCGACTACGGCGACACTGATCTCCAATGGTTAAGGCACGTAAATTGCTCCTTTAATTGATGAAGTTTGTGTTAGTGTGCGCAGGAAGAGGACAACATAAAACCTCAGCACATCTTCTAGTTTTACCGGAGCCAGTATCTATATCCGGAATATTGCCGCTGATATCCATATGAAGTTGGAGCAGGTGACCACTTAACTTCCACATCCGATAGGAGAATTAGTATTGTATGGAAGATAGAAGATTTACTTTTCCTAAGCAAGAAATCAGTATTTATTCTGGCTGCATTGATAAAATGTCAATCTATTTTATTGGAAAATGCAGCTCAAACGCAGTGCAATGTTAAAGGGACACTCCGGGAATACTTGTCCATAGGGTTCCAGTTTGCCAGGGTGTTGTAAGGCACTGTTTGGGATTTCGCATTGTGTGCCCTTGTGTGAAATTGATCAGGGCCAGGGTGCCAAAAGGAACTGTCATTGTTAATTAATGGGTTTCACAATCACAGAGGATGAATTCCACGTTTTTCTGGGAAGCAATTCCGTTTGGCGGAATGAAGAAGAAACGAGGTCCTAGAAAAACATGGTGATTTGGCAACAAGACTTGTCACAAGTACAAATAAACCTGAGATTACTTTTATAATATCGATATTTGGTGTATACATTAAACCGCAGCGAAGGAATAAAATATCATTCCTTCTGTTTTATCAGACAGGCTACAGAGACAGACTTATTACATAAATCCAATGTGATGAGGATGGAAATGTAAAGAACGAATGGCCTAACAATATTAATTACAAATATCCAAAATACCCCTACGATGATGATTCTACATCCTATGATACTTCCACTGTCAATGAAGCAGTGGCAGTACACACATCGGTCTCTGAAACGGCTACAGACGTTTCCTCTGTAAAGGTAGTGACCCAACACAAGTATTGCGTATGATGCCCAGTGAACTATATTATTCTAAATATTTTCAAGGGAAGATAAGAAGAAGACTGGATCTTTGTGAACATTAATTGTATGAAGTAATCATTAAATTATTTATATTGTAATAATGTTGGGGTCCCCAAAACCCAAGCCACCCCACTAAAATAAAGTCTCGATCTACCCCACCACACCCTAAAAAGCGTGAGGAGGGGGGTCAATAAATCTAAACTCTGTAACATTTTCTTTCGTCTAAATCTTCTGCTCTTCAGCCCCAAAAGAGGGCAATTAAAAATCTATAATAACTGATGCCACTAATTAAAATAACAGGCCCTATCGAATAAAAATTTTTTTTTTAAAAATCTGAAAATTAAAATGTGGCGCAATAACAAATAATCCATGTTGACCCATGGAGGGCTCACCGCAGTATGAACCCTGATACCTGTGATAGCTATCGCAAAGCGTATTGCAATATGACCAAGAGCTCTCTGATTGGTTGGCTAGTAAGCCAAACAATCAGAATACTCTGACAGCCAAGTCTCAAAAGAATTGAGAAGACTTGAGACTTGGCTGTCAGATCGCTCTGATGGTGTTAAAATAAAAGAACTGTCCTGCTAGGTTACAGTGCTTCCTACATAGGGGAGAGGTGATAGCAGACATTTAACAAAGCAGTGTTACAGAAAATGGAATATAAACTCAAATAGTACTTATCGGCTCTTATCAGACTGCTAGAGGGTAGTGGAACATGTTGAAAAAATAATGTGAGCTTTTATAAATTGCAAAAACTGGTTCAGTCACCATGGAGATAAATCTACGCATACATATATACATATCAAGCACAGACAGTGTTTTAAGGTACCTGGTAGTTCCTTTCCTTTTCGCTGATCACCAGCAGATATTTGGCGTCGGCGCCTGGTGCTCTGAAAAGGCAGTAACAAAACAACAACAAAATCATAGAACCAAAGGTACTTTGCAACAAAAATTCTCTAACAAACGAAACATTTTTACCGTCTATCCACTGACTGCTACAGGCCCTAACTGTATTTTCAAACAATTAAAACCAACCTAAAATACAGTGAATTAAGAGTTAAAATAAATGCCAAAAAAACTAAAATAATTTAGTAAACAACCCCCACTCTATATTTCCTGTGATTACGGTAATGTACTATCAATTTATTTTGCAAAGTGATTTTAATAAAAGGATGTTATAGAAATATACCATGGGGAAATGTTTTTAATATATCCCCATTCATTATATACAGTTTCTTCAATACTGGGTCTAACCACTGAACAGTGAATGAAATGTATTGAATGAATCCCAAATAAGGGGGGTCTATAGATGCAGCAATCATTGCAAATTGCTGTAACTATAAAGAACAAATTTAAGTAATAACGAAATACAGATGCTATAGGCTGTCATGGGGATTTGAATATTAAAAAACTGTTAAAGGACCACTATAGGCACCCAGACCACTTCAGCTTAATGAAGTGGTCTGGGTGCCAGGTCCAGCTAGGGTTAACTGCTATGTTTATAATAGGGTTAATCCAGCCGATAGAGCCTCTAGTGGCGCTTGTGTGCTTCTCACTGTGAAAATCACAGTGAGAAGACGCCAGCGTCCTTAGGAAAGCATTGTAAATGCTTTCCTATGAAATGGCTGAATGTGCGCGCGGCTCCTGCCGCGCATGCGCATTCAGCCGATGACGTCGCTATGAAGGAGGAGAGGAGGAGGAGAGCTCCCCACCCGGCGCTGGAGAAAGGTACGATTTTAACCCCTTCCTCTCCCCAGAACCCGGCGGGAGGGGGTCCCTAAGGGTGGGGGCACCCTCAGGGCACTATAGTGCCAGGAAAACGAGTATGTTTTCCTGGCACTAAAGTGGTCCTTTAAGGATTTAAATTGATTAAAATAAGAATTAAAATAAAAAGTATGCCACTATCCATTAATAATCATAAAATGGATCCAACCTGCATTCTCCTTGTGGATCCACCCATGGATTTTATAAAAGTTTGGGTTAACAAGTTAATGAGAAATATAATTGGAGTTATAAAGAAACCAAATAATATACTTACATTTTCAAAACGCAAATGTTGAAAACATGTGAAAATATTTCTGTTTTCCATCTTTACATACATGATCACCGCAACAGCTCCGCAGTGCCAACTGTCTCAACAGTGACTAGTGTCCACTGTAAGCTGTGGCTATTAGAGCAGTCGAAATGTTACAACTAATAAATCCAAACTGAACCAAAGATGTCCGGATTAAACTAAAATAAAAAAAGACAAAACTCAGCAAAAGTAAATTGCAATAGCAGAGGGGCATGTTAATAAAAAAATAACATAAAGTAACCATAAACTACATCATCCAAAGCAAAGCAACACTGCATAATAAACTATGCAAACTTAAGAAATTATTCGTTCACCAAAGCTAGAATAAGTCCTAATTTTACAGCAAGACAGGAGGCTTCATATTTGCACTTTTAACACCCGGAAACGAAGGAGAACGAAGAGTGCGAACAAGGTCGAAATCAAAACGTCCTAAAGGTCGAGTCCCTTTACCAACCTACTACAAGGATCACGACAAGGAACCACTCCGCATCCAAGGACACCGATGCTGCAGCCCCACGGACCGGGCTACAAACCTCTCCAAACCAGTCAGCACAAGAAGGCATTATAGTATAGCTGTGAATTGTGGAACTGTGAATAAGAAGCACTTTGTATGTAAGCGTTTAATCTTTTGTGCATTAAATATTATTTGTTTTAAAAGTTAAGAGCTGATGCCCCCATCTATCTCCACTGAGGATCTGATATTCCTGAATGGGATCTACTTTACACACAAAGCTGGATTACTTGAGCCAGTTTAACACCCTCATTAAAATGTGAGTTAATTACCTAAAAAGAATATTTCTTCTAAAAACTGGAAAATATATTTGCTAACTTCTGGCTGAAGCTACACCTTAAATAAATGCAAGCCGAGGAGCTCAGAAGTCGTTGTCACAAGCCGCATCCCTCGCTTATAGGCGCAAGGTGCACCATACCTTCAGCAGTCAGACGAGCCGCCATCTCACACACACCCGACGAAGCAGGTGATGATACTGCGACCTGCTCCACTGGGGAGAAACCGTAGACTGCAGAGTCAGCTGAAGAGAGGACCCACCTCTAGCAAGGCATCCCTCACCTACTCACCCACAACGGGGGCCAGAAGGGGTGTTCCCCCCCCCCCCGACACCGACCACACCAGTGAAGAACTAGGGTCCGATATAGGCCTGATACCACCCAGGACTTTCGTTGCCCCTCTCAGGGGATGGACTTGGCCATGAACAGGAACCGAGTCCGTGGCACAGAGGTGACGGCCCAGGTGCGGACATGGCAGGGATGTGTCTGCCGCGAGGCAAACAAGGCATTTGCCTTGAGCGGCAATTTCCAGGCAAATACCCTGTTTGCCTCGTTTTATGGGAGCCCAAGAGCCGGCCAGCTGGCCACCTTTGGGCTCCCCCAGGGCAGCTGGGTGGTTGTTTCTCGGGCGGGCGGCGAGGGAGCACTTTCCCCTGGGCTCTCTGCTCAGCTCCCTCGCACGACCCGCAATAATTCCGGCTCCCGGCATCACTCTGCGGCGTGAGGGGGGGCTGAGCAGAGGGCTCAGGGGAAAGTGCTCCCTCGCTGAAAACTGCTCGTCCGGCCGCCTCCCTCCCTGCAGCCCCACTGGACCCCAGGTGAAAAATCCACCTAGCTATCCCAAACGTAGGAAGGCTGGGTGGATTTTCATAAAGAATAAAATAATAATAATAACTGTGAGTGTGGGAAAATGTGTGTGTGTCAGTGAATGTGAGTGTCAGTAAATGTGTGTCAGTGAATGTGAGTGAGTGTGTCTGTCAGTGAGTGTGTGTTTCAGTGAATGTGATTGTGTCGGAAAATTTTAATTAGGGGGGGTGCCCGAGCACCGTCCTACCTAGGGCAGCACAAATCCTAAATACACCACTGGGGTGCAGGATAGGCCGAGGGTACCCCCCGAGCACTCCTACGCTCTCACTCCCGGCGAATACCACCTGCATGCTATGAACTTACCTGTCTCGGGAATAGGCTGAACGACCTGAATAAAACACCCGATGGCCTGGGACCTTTACCACAGATCCCTGGCAGGATTCAGAGAGCAGCATGTGCAACTGTGCTGAATGAGGCCCTGGGGAGATAAGCGGACAAGGGCACATGTAGGAGTGTGGGGATAGATGCATGGGATTGGTTGGGAAAGAGTGTGTGGGTGGGATTATGTTCTGTGTAAGTTAGTGTGGGGGAGGTCTTACCTCGGTGCCATTTGGGTTTCGGGCCAGCAAACAGCTTCCCTCCCGCCCCCCTCTTAGTATATTTAGTCACAGCTAGCCGGGGGTATGTCCTTGCCAATTGAGTTTGAGGGGTTACGTTTAAGTATATGGAAAGAGATGAACAAGTTTTAAGGTCTCAACCTCCCCTGCTTCAAACGGTTAACATTAGGTTGCCTGAGGTGTCGTGCCCATCGAGCGTGGATAAGGTCGGCTGATGGCGGGCATTGGAAAGATATGATTTTTATGACGAGGGGGGAGGTGAGACGAAGTGGTGATTAGGAACCACTGTATGTTTATTGGCAAGGACGGTTGGGTCACTGTATAACACTATGTGTGGAGTTATATATGTATATGTTAATTTATGCTTATTTATGTCTAATGTTTTTGGTTGCAGAAAAAGAAGAGATTTCATAAATAAAGTTATGGATGTGTTATGCAGTAATTTAGTTTGTGATAATAAATGCTGTGGCCTGTTCATCCATACTAAGTGGTCTGTCGTTATTGGGGGGTTGAATGAGGTTAGTTTATGTTCTAGGCTGCATCGCGATTCCCCACTACGTACATACATATTTGTGACACAATAGGGTTTTATTTCTCTGTCAGTTGAATTTTGTTTACTCTATTAAGTACCCTTTACTAGCTCAAGCAACAACCCTATGTGCCCCCCTCCCTCCAGCAGGACGCTACAGTCATATTTCTCCCCAAATGTTCCCCACTTCTACTCAGGTTAACGTCATAGAACTTGGAACCTATACTTGATGAGCACATGTATAGCCTGATTTCACCTAATAATCTTAATCCTAATAGACTAGACAGCCTACCCTAGTGTAATACTGAGATATAATGCCAATCTAAATGCATATTCATAGCCTGTCACCTAGTCTGTGATATATACCTAACAATATAATACCTCAATATTACCAGCTTGTTAAGGCTAAATGAATAACTCGTCTGTCTTATCGCTTAGCGGACACCTTGGTACCACTCTTACTAAACCTACATTAATACAGAAAATGTGCGCTGTTATAATATGCCAAACCATTACGCTTGCCATCGCTGTTGTGGCATTGCTTGATGCTTTGTACTTTTCCTGCACAATAAAATAAAGAATTATAAAAAAATTAAAAAATTAAAAAAAGAATGCTTTGGGGTTGGTTTTACTCTCTTTGACTATCATTTTTTTACATACATTCCTAAAGAATCACTTTAAACCCCTCTTTAAAAAACAAAAAGCACAATGAATGATGTGGTAAAATGTAAAACTTAACTTTTATTGGTATTCTATCCCAAAATATAATTAGAGATTTAAAGTGAACAAAGTTCAAAAGGCAAACAGTAACAATATTACTAACCGTTGTTATAGGAAAAATAAACTATGGTTTCTAATACTAATTAATAAAATCCTTCTGTTGGTAAACTATTTAAGTCATTCTCATCTAGCACAGCTATTCACCAATAATGTCTGAAAAGAAAAAAAAAAACAGACGACAAATGTAGTTCTCGATTTAAACCCTAGGGGTCATCATAATCTACACTCAGTAATAATAGCACTCAAATTCAAATAGTGATACAACGAGGGCAAAGGAATAGAGACTGTGTAATAATAACATTCTGACAATAGGGGGCAACCTAGTACCCGGATCCCCATGTTCCTTAATATAAGTCACAAAATATACAAGTGACGCATAATATTAAATGTATGCTTACTAATGCAAGGAGCCTAAATAACAAAATGGAGGAACTAGAGGCATTAGCATACACTAAACAATATGATATAATAGGCATAACTGAAACATGGTGGGATGAGACATGACTGGGCAGCTAACTTAAATGGGTACATGTTATTTAGGAAGGATAGGAAAAACAAGAAGGGTGGTGGGGTATGTTTGTATGTCAAACATGATTTAAAGCCAAATGTTAAGCAAATGGAATGCGAGGAGGATAATGTGGAAGCTTTATGGGTAAATATCTGCTTGGGGAAAAGAAGGGAAACCAACTATTGGTTGGGATATGTTATAAACCACCTAATGTTAATATTGACGAGGAACAACAGCTGTTTGAGCAAATTGAGAAAGCTGCAAATCTGGGTAACACTTTCATTATTGGAGATTTTAATTACCCAGACATAAATTGGGACAGAGGGACTAGTGCCTCAGCAAAGGGAATTAGGTTTTTAAACTTGTTAAATGACACCTTCATGTCACAACTTGTACAAGCACCAACTAGAATGGATGCTTGTCTGGACCTAGTTTTAACAAACAACGTTGATCTTTTGACCAACATTCAAGTAGGTGAGCACTTGGGAAATAGTGATCACAATATAGTGTCCTTTGAAATAAACTCAAAAAAAAACAAAAGCACATGGGGAATACTAAAACATATAATTTTAAAAAGGCCAATTTCAATAAGTTAAAGGAAGCTTTACAATATATTGACTGGCATAAACTCTTTAGTGAAAAGAACACTGAGGATAAATGGATCATCTTCCAACAAATATTACAAAGGTACATTTCTCAGTATGTACCGTTCGGAAATAAATATAAAAGAAACAAATTAAAACCAATGTGGCTTAGTAGAGAAGTAAAACAAGAGATTACAACTAAGAGAAGGGCATTTAAAGCATTTAAATCGGACAAATCAGATGCATCTTATACAAGATATAAGGATGCAAATAATGCGTGCAAAAAGGCAATTGGACTTGCTAAACTTCAAAATGAAATAATGATAGCTGAAGAGAGCAAAACCAACCCCAAAGCATTTTTTAAGTACATAAATTCTTAAAAAAAAACAAAATGAAAGTGTAGGTACACTAAAAACTGAAACGGGGGTGTTAGTTAATGAAGACCAGGAAAAAGTAGGAATTTTAAATAACTATTTCTCCTCCGTATATATTAAGGAAGAACCCATGGCAATAGATGTGCTAAAAACTTGCAGAATAATTGTAATTGGTTAACTCAAGACAAGGTGCTGCAGCAACTAAAGAAAGTTAATATAAACAAAGCTCCAGGTCCTGACGGTATCCATCCACGTGTACTTAAGGAACTAAGTGCAGAAATAAGTGAACCTCTGTTTTTAATCTTTCAAGATTCTTTTCTTTCAGGAAGTGTTCCGGAGGATTGGAGGAAGGCAGATGTAGTTCCTATATTCAAAAAGGGTTCAAAATCCTTGCCTGGAAATTATAGACCTGTGAGCTTAACTTCTGTGGCTGGTAAAATATTTGAAAGTTTATTAAGGGATAATATTCAAGAATTCCTTGAGAAGAACATGGTTATCAGCAAAAATCAGCATGGTTTTATGAAGCACAGGTCATATCAAACTAACTTGATTGCGTTCTACGAAGAAGTAAGTAGAAGTATAGATCAGGGTGTTGCCGTGGATGTGATCTATTTGGATTTTTCCAAGGCATTTGATACAGTTCCACACAATAGATTAGTGTTCAAACTCAAGGAAATCGGTCTAGATGAAAATGCTTGTTCTTAGGTAGAACATTGGCTTAAAAACAGAGTACAAAGAGTTGTCATTAATGGTAAATTTTCAAGCTGGACAGAGGTGGCAAATGGTGTCCCTCAGGGGTCTGTTCTAGGACCCCTTCTATTTAACATGTTTATAAATGATCTTGAAGACAGCATTGAAAGTCATGTTTCAGTGTTTGCAGATGACATAAAACTCTGTAAAATAATACAATGTGAGCAAGATATTACTTTGCTGCAGAGGGATTTAGATAGACTGGGGGACTGGGCACTCAAATGGCAGATGAAATTTAATGTTGAAAAATGCAAAGTTATGCACTTCGGCGTAAAGAATACACAAGCAATGTATACCCTTAATGGAAGCGAATTAGGGATAACAACACACGAAAAGGACTTGAGAATTGTTATAGACAACAAACTATGCAACAATGTGCAATGTCAATCAGCAGTGGCCAAGGCCAGTAAGGTATTGTCATGCATGAAAAAGAGCATTCATTCTCGGGACGAGAATATCATTTTGCCTCTTTATAAATCACTGGTAAGACCACATATTGAATATGCTGTACAATTTTGGGCACCTGTTCTAAAGAAGGATATTATGGCACTAGAAAAAGTGCAGAGGCAAGCTACAAAATTAATAAAAGGAATGGAACATATCAGCTATGAAGAAAGGTTAACAAATTTAAACCTATTTAGTTTAGAAAAACGTCGCCTGAGAGGGATATGATAACATTATACAAATATATTCGGGGCCAATACAAACCATTGTGTGGAAATCTATTCACAAACCGGACTTTACATAGGACACGAGGCCATGCGTTTAGACTGGAAGAAAGAAGATTTCGCCTAAGGCAAAGGAAAGGTTTTTTTACTGTAAGAACAATCAGGGTGTGGAATTCTCTGCCTGAGGAAGTGGTTTTATCAGAGTCCATACAGATGTTCAAGCGGCTACTAGATGCATACTTGCAAGAACAGAATATTCAAGGATATAATCTTTCAATGTAGGGTAATAACTGCTTGATCCAAGGATAAATCTGACTGCCATTCTGGAGTCAAGAAGGAATTTTTTTCCTAGCTTGTTGCAAAATTGTGCTTCAAACTGGTTTTTTTGCCTTCTTTTGGATCAACAGCAAAAAACAAATGTGAGGAAGGCTGAACTTGATGGACGCAAGTCTCTTTTCAGCTATGTAACTATGTAACTATGTAACTATGTAAATATGCAGGTACAAAATGAAGTGTTTAGTAAAGAAACCAGGGGATAAAAATTCAAAGTTGAACAGTCTGCTCCGAACGGCTTCCTAACAGATGCCTTTTATCAATTGTTTTAGACACTATAGATTCTATAACAGTGATTATTAATATTAATATCTTTGACTTTAAACTTAATTCACTATGAACCTCTAATG